GTGTATTTTTCATATTATAGAAGATCTTTATTATATATCGATTTTGTTAGAAAATGAGATGTTAGAAATTTAGAAAAATTGTAGATCGCTCGTAGAATTTATCTGATAATAATTTGCGCGCCAAGCAATTTGAAGCATTGTTAACCAATTGTGAGATATTTTTTCATATTTAATGTAAATAAAAGTTGTAGTTCAGGTTCAGATATATCTTGGCGATACGATTGATCTTAATGGAAAGGGTTAATTGTCTGAACAAACAACGATTTGATTTCCGATGAAGTAACAATCGAAAGCAACGTTCGTTCTTTTTAATGATCGAGAATTCTAATTTTCATGCGGAACGACAATGTCAACGCGTAGTTTCGCGGAATCTAATTTGACAGATCGATGACAAAGCAGCGTGGCGACCCTGGCTGGTTGGAATATTCCACCGATTTCTCTGGAATCGTGATTCCAACGTCGATGTTTACGAGGAGGGAAGAAGGTATCGCGATAGTTGGGGGTGGATTTCCATGTATCGATCGTATCCAACTCTTTTCTCTTCCTCTCCCCGTGGTAATCCAATAGTTAAGCTTTTTATAGAACGACGTGGAATAATAGGGATAGCAGTTTGTACACACGTCGCTTTTGCTTTCGTCTTTAGTCGTATAATAGTTCACTTTGTCATTTGGCGAGGATGGGCGACGATTGGAAATCGCGATGGAGGAAATCTCGGTGAGGGGAGGAGTTGAATGAACCGGGAAGGTCGTTCAATTGGGACGTTGATGGGGAGGGGATCGTAGATTTCTCAAGGTTCGTTTGATTAGAGATTCGCTCGAGTGGAGAAGATTTTTTTTCGATCCTTCAATCTTAAAATCGAGTTTTCGAATTCCTGATTCAATTGATATAGATAGTATATACTGGATGTTAAAGGATTATCGTTTAAAATTAACTTTAAAAAAATTTCAAAAATATTTCCTATATTTAAATATTTTTCTTTATATTTGTCGCAAACGAATATATTCGTCAATGTAAACATATTACATTGATAATACGATATAAAATTATATCGGTATCTTCGAATCTTCATGACGATCCTTGACACGCAAAACTTTCCTTTTTAAAATTAGGAAGTTAAATTTACAAGAAGATGGACAACTTTGAAGGGATGACGAGTTTGAATATATTTTTCACGATACTTTAACAATCGGTTCTCGAATTGGAAGCAACGAGATTTCTACTCGGACAGAATTCACGTTTGAACAATGGTTGGAGTTGACGTGTTCCGAGGAGCCGTCTCCAAGGACAAGGGGGCATAAGGACCTTAAGTCACGCTCGGGTTCTCCCTGTAGGCCTCTAATTGCCGCTTCGTTCCGGAGCATAAGCCGCCTTTTTCCACGGGAGAGTTTTACTTCTCTGGCTAGACTCGTCATCATCGAGAAACGTAGCCAGTTTTCTTCGGAATCGCCTTGGCCGGTTCTCCTTTCTCGCCATCTGTCTCTTCCCGGTATAAACCAGAGAAACCAGCCGTTCCCGTTTTATTATCTAACTGGATTCTTGTCTCCCTTGGAGAAAAATATTTTCGCCGAGATTTTTTCGGGCGAAAAAGAAAAAGAAAAGAAAAGAAAGAAAATTTTTAAAGCGTCGAAGAATTGTCGAGTGTTCGAGCATTTATTTATTTCTTTCACCAACTGGTGAATGAATATTTCATTACACGCGTGTATGAAAAATAATATCCACGCCTAACACTCTTTTTTTTTTTCATCGATTTCGAGATATTTCAATCTCTCTCCTCCTTATCTTATTAATCAGCCATTGATAATAACAATCTTCGTGAATTTTCTTTTCTATTCCAATATCTCGTTCCTTCTTCGATTACTGGAAACTCGAACTTCCGCGTGTTTACGATTAACAATCAATAGATGTACGTACGTAATGGAACGCTACTTTCATTTTTCATGGAGGAACGCTTTCCATTCTCGGTTCCATCGAATCTGGCTGCTTCTTCCATTGTGTGCATATAACCCGCGTATCGGTTAAACGTTGCATATTAAAGAAAGGGGTGGAATGGCAACGATTTTTCGTTCCTTTTGGCCCACGATTCTGTTGCACGGTCACCTTCCAAGATGGAAGGTAGATACAAGAGAGATAGGGAGGAACGGCGGAGATCTTGTATGCACCCGGGCTCTCCTCCGGTATGTTCCTCCCGAGGGCGATATTACGATTCTCTTGTTGGCCTGCAGGTAAGTTATCTTGGACCGGATAACTTTGGTGACGTTTTTAGCGTTGCAAATAAAGCAGCAAACCGATGTGACTCTGGGCGTGTTCAACCGAGAATACTATTTTTAGTGGTTCCTTTGAGGGTCCCACAATTTATTCCCTTGGGGAGACGTGGCCGAGGATGTAATTGGCTCCAAGACCTTTGGTCTCGCGTTTTCGGCCGGGAGAGATTAGAAATTAGCCTAACCTTAGCTTCGAAAATTTCGAGAAATTTTTTCTTTTTTAAATTTTTCCATATTTTCTTTTCTTTGGAATTACGTTGTATATGTATATTTGTATTATAAATCGGTGTCTCTGTTAGGGAAGAGGACGTGATAGCATGCAAATATATTTTGACGATAAACGTTACCGATAATTATGGCGAATAAAGAGAGTTGAAAGTGAACAACTATAATAATTATCGATTGGCGAAAAATAATCGTGAGAGCAAATTATCGAGAGTTTTTTATTCTTAAATATATTCTCATCGGTACAATCCTCTTGAATTCACTCGCTGAATTTAATCTCACAATTAAAACCTCGCATTCGTAATCATTTCTTCGCAATGATTTAATCTTAACGACTAATAAATAATAATCATCAAACATTGAATCGTAAAAACTAAAATTAAAATTAAAAAAAAAAAGAAACAGAAGAGAACAACTTCATGAAATATTAATATACATTCGTACATTACATTCGTTAATAATAGAGGGAAATATATTGCACAACCAGGAAGCGTAATTAAAGTTTTTCTAAACGCCAATTAAGATCTCTAAAATCGAGATTTTTACATTTTATATATATACTATCGGCTAAAACACCTTGCCAGGATAAGGATCTTTCTCTCTCTCTCTCTCCGACTTGCCATCGTTCCGTGTTTACCGTTCCACTATGGCTCTCCCCTCCTCCCCGGAAGCGAGGCGCGGAGGCTGGCGTGTTTATTTGTCGTGAAATCTATTCGCGTTTGCACCAAGGCTGCTCCGTTTAATCCCCCTCTTGCTCCCCCTCCTTTTGTTCGCTCGCGTCTCCGCGAGGAGGAAACGAAGAGGAGGAGGGTTCCGGCTGGTTTTCCAGCCTGCACAGTTAAAAAGCAGACGGAGCGGAGCCGGCCGTTTATGGCCGCTTGTAATTACGTCCACCCCTCGAGATTTCGAATAGCCGGGCTGAAAATAGGCGAAAGATCTACCCGGGGAACGAAGTGAACGTGGCGTGGAAGGGTGTTGCTCGATTCCTCGGGATTAAACGCGTTTTGTGCAACGAGGGAGGGGTGGATCTTGGGACGAATGCTATTTTTTTTTTTTTTTTTTTTTCTGCGCGGCATAATTATGATATAAACGATACCGCGCGTTGCCGACAAGAAAAATGTTAATTGTAAGTTGGTGGGGCGATGTTTGGATCGATTAAACTTGAGTAAAATTTCTTTTTAAATTTAAGTTTCTTTTTTCTCAAATTTAGTTAGCGAAATTGAGTTTATGAAGTGGTGTTAAAGAGAATTGAAACTTGGAACAGGTCGTTAGATTTTATTATAATTTATCAACAGGTAATAGCGATATTTGCAGGAGGATTATTTTTCTTTACGACGAGCATACTTTTCACTTTGTATTGAAGTTGGCACAATATCCATTTTGTGAAGTGATGCGCTATGAATATAGTAAATTTGTCTGCTACCGATTACCAAGCATATATTTTGTGTGTAACCTTAAATTATATTTTTGATTCGTCCTTCTTTTGCGAACTTTATTTTATATTGTTTGTATTCCTTTGTGTTTGTCGATCGTATCCTTAATATATACGTATATATATATATTTTTTTTTCTCGTAGTTTAGAATAATGAGAATGGTCAGCTTCGAACAGTTCGTTTTAACGGATGGATTTGTGCATGCTTTGTTTTGAGATACATCAAGCGACCTCATGCAGTCGAATTATTCTTCGCTCCGTAATCAAATCGTTAATCGTAATATACCAGTTAAATGTTTATGGAAAGTATCGCATGTAGATTGAAATTTTCGAACTCGAGGAATTTTCTTAATCGCGTACGTAGCGTCTCCAAGCATCCTGCATCGTACGTCGCTGCATCTGGAGTAAGAAATTCAGAATTAAAAAAAAAAAAAAAAAGAAAAAAAAATTCATCGGACGATGTCGATCGATTATTTACATAATTGATCGAAGGAGTCATTTGGATCGAACGATTTCCCTTATCTTCCATCTGCAATCTCCAATTTTTTTTTTTTTTTTTTTTTAAAGAAAGAATCGCATAATTTCGCTTCAAAATGCATTTCAACGTTTAATCCTTTCATTTTGTTATAACCGGTTAACCTTGTGTAAGCGAATCGTTCTCATAAATTCTTGTTAAAAAACGAGCCGAGATTATCATCCGGATGATTAGCTTTTGTAATTTGAAACAACGAGAAGAGAGAAAGAATGAGATCGCGAGGATAAAACGGTTTCATCCGGTTAATCGCGATTCAAGCCGTGAAATGGACGGCCGAGGTCAATTTCGAGGTGGAAGTCAATTATTTCAATAAATCTGCCGAGTGCACGACGTCCATTGATTGGCTTGTCCTCATTAGAGAGATGGTTGCGCATGACAGGGGGTGGTAGCTCTTGAAATTAGTAGCGTAAATCATCCCCCCCACTCCCCTCCGTTTTTCTCCTCTGTTATCGTCGCCGCCGCCGATAATCTCTCCCCCCTCCCTCCCCGGATATATAAGAATCGTTTCCTCGCCTTAATCTTTTGCCATTTCCTTTTACTTCGCAGCCCACGTGGCGTTTATGGGGCGAGGAAAGGGGCGATGGCGTCATATACACGGTGTACCTGAAGAAGGTCCGATATCACAGGCCGACCAGGAGCCTCTCCGCATCGGTGAGAATTGAAACCATTCGATTTTCGAATTTTTCTCCAAGCTATTGTCATTTCGAAATTTTCCAAATTTTTAAAACTACTCCTCGAGTTGTTCAAAGTTTCTGGAATTTTTTAATTAAGGATTCGGACGACGAGATCTCGCATTTGGAATGGGAGACGGTGAGAGTGCGTTTCCTGAAAGCCGGCACGGTGCAGCGGCTGGTGGAAAGTCTGGCGAACGACGACGGGGAACTCGAGTCGACGTATATCAATGTCTTCTTGGCGACGTATCGAGCATTCACCACGCCGCGGGAAGTGCTGGAGCTATTGTTGTCGAGGTACGATGCCCTCGATGAAGGATCCGGTGCGCTGACAGGCGAACAACATCGAAAGACTCTGGTTCAGGCTCTTCACGTCTGGTTGGACGCCTATCCTGGCGACTGGAAGTCGCCTCCGAACCACCCCTTGCTCAGCCGAGTCCTCGACTTCACGCATCGACGACTTCCTGGCTCGGAACTCGAGCTCAAGGCAAGGCATCGTTTGCACAGGTTTCAGCGTGAAGATCAAATAGGTGAGCGAAAAATTATTATATCTATATATATATATATAAAGAATAAAAATTTCTTGCCTCGTTTCAAACACCGATTCTGTAAAATGTTATATCAAATGTTTATTAAACCAGATGTTTATTGCGTTTCTCTATAGATAAATGTTGCAACTTATCACTGGGCTCTGATTCATCGATTCTAAGATGAGACGTGCATATATTTATTCTACTTCTATTCAGAACAGTATTTACACTCGTTTCTTTCTTTTTTCCAGATTCGTGCATAGTGTACGACAATGGTCGATTAGCGCGTGGTTCCCCGGATCCAATCGTGGATCATTGGGCGAGCTACAATTTTCCCGAGGTTCCGCACCGACATTTCGCCGAGCAGCTGACCAGAATGGACGCCGAAGTGTTCAAGAAACTCGTGGCCCACCAATGTTTGGGCGCCGTCTGGTCGAGAAGGGATCGTTCGAGGAGCCACGACGCGGCCACCGTATTGGCGACCGTGAATCAATTCAACGCCGTTTCCCTTCGGGTCATATCCACGATACTGATGGACTCGTCGACCAAGCCTCAAGAACGCGCGAGGATCCTCGAGACGTGGATCGACATTGCTCAAGAGTTGCGGGTGTTGAAGAATTTCAGTAGCCTGAAGGCTATCGTGTCCGGTCTGCAGAGCAACCCTGTCTACAGATTGGAGAAGTGTTGGCAGTGTATGCCCAGGGAGAAGCACGAGCTGTTCAGAGAGTTGGAGAGAATTTTCTCGGAGGAGAACAACGCGTGGACCCAACGAGAGCTTTTAATCAAAGAGGGCACTGCCAAGTTCGCGGACACGGCGGGCAGGAGCGACAGACACCTGCAAAAGTTGTTTCAAAAGCAAAATACTCACGCGGGCGTAAGTGTTAATTTTTAATTTAATTACGCGTACGTTACGCCGAATATTTGGCCGAAAATTAATTCGAATCGTTTTCTTGTTCTCTCGTAGAATATCAGTTATGGGACGATACCGTATCTGGGCACGTTCTTAACGGATCTCACCATGATAGACACCGCGATACCTGACACGATAGCGGAGGGTCTAATCAACTTCGATAAAAGGCGGAAAGAATTCGAGGTCCTCGCTAGGATAAGATTGCTTCAGGGTGCCGCGAATGCGTACAATTTCAGCACGGATCCGTTGTTCGATCGTTGGTTCCACTCCGTGGTTGTGCTCGATGATCGAGAAGCGTATAAACTGAGTTGTCAGATCGAGCCGCCACCACCCGGAAACACTTTGAGCAATCGTGGCAAGAAGAAGCAGGTCAGCATGCTCTCCCTCATCTCGTTTATACGAACACGTTCCCGATCACCTGTTTCCCGCGAGAGGACTGAGCCCAGACTTATCTTGCAGAGTCATCAGGGTCACCGTAAGAACGACTCGATAGCCTCCACGTCGAGTTCGAGTAGCTCCCAGTTTTATTGCGATCTGGATTCCTTGCCGAGCTCGCCCCACAACTCTCTCGATCGGCGCACGTCGCCATCCCAGATGTCCAGCTCTTCGTCCAGCTCGTCCTTGCCATCGTTGGACGTGTCGTTGAGCTCCGGCGGGGGAAGCGGAGCGACGAATCAACAGAACCGATTAGCGCCCCCGACTGCCATCACAGCCAACGGGAACAGCCCCAATATCGTTGGCCTGTCCAGCCCGAG